ACACCTGTAATCCCAGCACTTTGAGGGCCGAGGCACGTGGATCACTTGAGGTCAGGAGTTGGAAACCAGCTTAGCCATCATGGTGAAAACCTGTCTCTACTAAAAACACAAAAAATTAGCCGGGTGTGGTGGTGCATGCCTGTAATGCCAGCTACTCAGGAGGCTGAGGCAGGAGAATCGCTTGAACCCAGGAGGCGGAGGTTGCAGTGAGTTGAGATAGGGTAGTGCCACTGCACTCCAGCCAGGAACCATGGGGATGCAAATCAATTATTAGTCTTATGACCCTAATGTCAGAGATCCTACCTGTAGGCAAAAAGGCAATGCAAATGGTCAGGAACTAGTGACTTTTAGCAACAAGAAAGTGGGCAGAGTGTAGCCTTATTAATTAGTGTTTAATTACAGCTCTATTTCTGTCCAGAACCCAGCATACAATTCTTGTCAGCCCTCTGGGGGCAGTCCCAGGAGGATAACTGAGGAGAAGACAAAGCAACAACAAACAGTGCTTGTTTCAGGGAGAGATGTGAGCAGGGCAGAGGCAGCCTTTCAGCAGCCGGGGCCTCTGCCGAGCTCCTAGAACTGGTTGGGGTGAGCCATGAGTGGTACAGAGTTCTTGCTGCTACAAAACTCTGGCAGGCCCACTGGCAGGGATGAGTGGCCTTGGCAGTGACTGTACATTCCCACCCCCTTGTAGCCAGGGGCAATCTCTTTTGGGCCTTGCATGATAATAAGCTGTCCCCTGAGCCTTCCTGACTCTTCCAGTTCAACAATACCAATTTAGAGTTTTTAGCTGAGAACACACCTCTCTCAAAGGACAGGCTGAAGGAACAGGATTATAAAAGGATCATGACCTGCTAGAATGGAAACAAGTTTCCTACAGTTCTTGTGGCAGTGCCCCCCCCCCACCCCCAGTTAGGGTTATGGTCACTCCCTGCCATCAATATAACCCCAAAGGTTGGATGGATTTGAGGAGATAGATTCTAGAAGCTTCTGAAATTAAGTGGAAATCTTTGGAAAAGTAAGAAAAGAGTTCCAGGGGAACCTTTTCACTACCCTTTGGAAAGGCCTGGAACATTCCATACTTGTATTCTATCTACACTTTAGACTCAGTCTATCCCATAATAGTGTGGGACTCTTTCCATACTATGAGTCCATTGTGGACTCATTTCCACAATGACATTTTCCCTCTGTGAATTAATATAGCTCTAACAATATCAATAGCACAGATTTAGCTTTAGCTCTCAACGGTCCTTTTTTTTTAAATTTAAATTTTTTTTTTATGTTTATGTTTTCGAGATGATGTCTTGCTCTGTCATCCAGAACTAGAGTGCAGTGGAGCAATCATAGCTCACTGTAGTCTCAAACTCCTGGCCTCACATGATCCTCCTGCCTCAGCCTCCAGAGTAGCTAAGATAATAGGTGTGGACCACTGCACCCAGCTCAATTGTCTTCTTATTGTTCTTTTCCTTTGAGTTATTCTTGTCTTTTTGTATTATAAATTCTAGAGTTAAATTAGCTGGGTGTGGGGGTGCATGTCTATAGTTCCAGCTCCTCAAGAGGCTGAGGTAGGAGAATCACTTGTATCCAGGAAGCGGAGGTTGCAGTGAGCTGAGATTGCGCCACTGCATTCCAGCCTGGGTGACAGAGTAAGACTCAAACATTTTTTAAAAATTAAAAAATAATAATAATAAATAAATAAATTATAGAGCTTTGTATTTTCCTGGTTCCTGGTACACCAGGACTAGAAAATAGTTGGATTCGTGAATCAGTAAGAATCCACAAGCGTGTGTGTGTTAGACTGGCCTTCTTAGGCCACCAGAATGTTATGATTTGAGGATTCTATAAAACCTGGCTTGGATGCCGGGTGTGGTGACTGACACCTGTAATCCCAGCACTTTGGGAGGCCAAGGTGGGTGGGTCATCAGAGGTCAGGAGTTTGAGACCAGCTTGACCAATATGGTGAAACCCTGTCTTTACTAAAAATACAAAAGTTAGTCGGACATGATGGTGTGTGCCTGTAGTCCCAGCTACTAGGGAGGCTGAGACAGGAGAATTCTTTGAGCCTGGGAGGCAGAGGTTGCAGTGAGGAAAAAACAAAACAAAAAACCTGGTTTGGGAAGTCGAGACTGAGGTGAGCTGTGATCGCCACTGCACTCCAGCCTGGGCAACAGAGTGAGACCGTCTTCAAAAATAAAACCCAAACCAAAACAAAACAAAACAAAAAACGTGACTCAACAAAAAGATCTCCCTCTCCCGAGCTGACCTGCCTTACTCTTTGAAATTCCTACCCTGTATGTCACTCCTTGACTGCTTCTAGAGAAGTGTTTGTTTTAGATGGACAGAAGTGTTTTGTCACCTGGGAAGGGCAATATTAGTCAGCTACCACTCTAGTAAGAATTAGTTTCTGTAATTAATTGTTGTTAAGACATGGGGTATGGAAGCCTTAGAGATTGAATCCTAGGCCAGGAAGGTGTGGTTATTGGAAATCAGGAGGGGCAAAGAGGGCTGAGGTCCTGGGGCCTTGAATGATAAGAGAAGGCACTGGCTGGGTTTAAGAGGTCATGAGCATAGCAGTGAAGGGCACACCGAAGGTAAACTTTGGGTTCATATTTTTGCCTTAGGTAAGGCTTCCTGTAGTGAAGGCAACTCATTCAGGAACTGGTCTGTTTGCTTCTTTTTTCGTTTTTTTGAAACAGGGTCTTACTGTGTTACCCAGGCTTAGTGCAATGGTGAGATCACGGCTCACTGCAGCCCCGACCTTCCAGGCCCAAGTGATCCTCACATCTCAGCCTCCAGAGTAGCTGGGACTACAGGCACACGTCACCACGCCCAGCTGATTTTTTTTTTTTTTTTTTTGAGAGACAACAGTGTCTCCCTATGTTGCCCCGACTGGTCTTGAACTCCTGGGCTCAAGCAATCCTTCCACCTTAGCCTCCCAAAGTGCTAGGATTACAGGTGTGAGCCACCTTGCTTGGCCTCTGATTATTTCACTAACAGGTCTTGTTACCGGAAAGGGGTCCCAATCCAGACCCGAAGAGAGGGTTCTTGGATCTTGCGCAAGAAAGAACTCCAGGTGAATCCATACAGTAAAGTGAAAGCAAGTTTATTAAGAAAGTAAAGGAACAGGCCGGGCGCAGTGGCTCATGCCTGTAATCTCAGCACTTTGGGAGGCTGAGGTTGGTGGATCACCCGAGGCTAGGAGTTCAAGACCAGCCTGGCCAACATGGTGAAACCCTGTCTCTACTAAAAATACAAAAAATTAGCCAGGTGTGGTGGTGGGCACCTGTAGTCCCAGCTACTTGGGAGGCTGAGGCAGGAGAATCACTTGAACCTGGGAGGTGGAGGTTGCAGCGAGCTGAGATTGTACCATTGCACTCTAGCCTGGGCAACAAGAGTGAAGCTTTATCTCAAAAAAAAAAAAAAAAAAAAGAAAGAAAAGAAAGGAATAAAACAATCTATAGGCAGAGCAGCCCTGAGGGCTGCTGGTTGGCTATTTTATGGTTATTTCTTGATGGTATGCTAAACAAGGGATGGATTATTCATGAGTTTTCCTAGAAAAGGATGGGTAATTACCCTGGAACTGAGGGTTCCTCCCCTTTTAGACCATATAGGGTAACTTCCTGATGTTGCCATGGCATTCGTAAACTGTCATGGCCCTGCTGGGAGTGTCTCTTAGCATGCTAATGTATTATAATTAGCTTATAATGAGCAGTGAGGACAACCAGGTCAATTCCGTCACCATCTTGGTTTTGGTAGGATTTGGTCAGCTTCTTTACTGCATGCTGTTTTATCAGTAAGATCTTTGTGACCTGTGTCTGTGGCGACCTCCTATCTTATCCTGTGACTTAGAATGCCTAACTTCCTGGGAATGTAGCCAGTAGCTCTCACCCTTATTTTACTCTGCCCTTATTCAAGATGGAGTCGTTCTAGTTCAAACACCTCTGACAGTCTTAGTTGTCTGCAGGCAGAGACTGGCCGTATGTACCTTATATACCCCC